TTATTATTTCAATACCAGTAAAGAGGAGATCATCAGAAGAACCAGAAAAAGGGTAGGCAACGGCATCCAACAGATTTAAAAGTAATTATAAAAATGGAAATGACATTAAAAGCAGCAAAACAGGCATTGGCTTATGTTTGTAGTAGCTGAGATGAGACAAATGCAGCAAAATGTGGTCAACTACATGCATTAACAAGGACATCTTAACACACCAGGACATTTACATCAATATGCATATGGAAGAAACGCTTTCAGAAACTACAAGTAGCGGCAGAATAGAATTAACAGCAAGAACAGCAGCAATGTCATTTGAAGGTAATTATAGAATTGTTGACATCAAGAGGAGAAAGAAAATCTGCAGCAGCAATGACAATATTATTTGGTATGTTTGCATGCAATCACTGATTCCAAGTTTATACTATTGTAATCTTCTGTAATCAACAATTATTATTTCAATACCAGAATAGAGAACAGGAACCAGCAGAAGAAGGTGAAATTCGGGAGCAACGAGAAGGTGAACTCCCAGAACGTGGAGATCAGCAGCAACAGCAGAACCGCCTATATACGCAGTGGCAACATCTAACACGGAGAGCAGGACATTTGCAGCGATTACAACAACAGCAGCAACAACACCTCCAAGAACGCCTACAGCAACAACAGCGACTATGGCGACAACAGCAGCAGGAGCAACAACAGCAGGCACGTCAACTATAGCAAGAGCAACAACAGCAGCTTCAGCAACATTGGCAGGAGCTACGGCAACATCAACAACAACTTCAGATAGAGCAACAATAACAAAAACAGCAGCAGCTAGTGCAACAACAGCAGCAGCGCCAACAAATAATTAACCTGCAGCAGGAGCAACAGAAACAACAATTGCAGGAGATGCAACAGCGGGAGCAGCAGCTTCGAGTACTACAGCAGGAGTAACAAATTATGCAGCAACAGCAGCACCATCTCAGCCTAGATAGGCAGTGGCAACAGAAATGCCTTCAGCAGAGTAATTGCTGCGGCAGTGATGGCATTTAATGGGTGGTTATAGAACATCAACAGGAGCACAACAGAATCTGCAGCAGCAATGACAACATTATTGGTTTGCATGTCATCACTGTTTACTAGTTTATACTTTTATAATCTGCTCTATTAAACCAACAATTA